AGACAAGTAAAGCGGTCAACACGCTCAACTACTTCACTCGATGCGAGCCAATCCTGAAGAAAAATATTGCATTTTGACCATGAGAATCGCATCCCGAACATGCTTGCATTGATGCTTAGGGTAGTCAGAAGACTGCATTTTGTCAACATCTTCACTAAATAGAATTATGTCGTCGGCATATTGTATTTCAACAAAAGAATTTCCTGGTAAAAGTTCAACTCTTCAAAAGTCAAAGGATGAAAGCGTCAATGATAAAGTTAGACAAGTATGGAGAAAGTGGACATCCCTGACGGACACCTCTTGAAGTAATCAATTCTGATAACAGTTCTTTCTAAGCTTTCACTTGACTAGTTGTGTTTGAGTAGATAGTTTGTATAAGGTCAATGTACGTCTCTGGTACACCTTTAAGTGACAGACACCACCATAGAAGCTCCTATTGTCGGACATTTGAATGTGTGTCTTTGTTCCAGGACTTGGCATAGTGTGAATTTCTGGTTAATACAACCAAATCAAGTCCTAGAACCATAATAGTTTTCTAGGGTCTGCTATTTTACGAGCTATAGTTAGTCAATGAAGTGTTATTGAAGTCAACATCTTATACAGGGTGTTAATTAAACTGAGTCTTATGTGATTGTCACTAAACGATTTTTGTCCTGTAATATAGACTGCATCAATCAGTAATTGAAGTCAGTCGGATGGGATTACTCCCATTCACTGCCAAAACTGGACCACTACCCTTCAAAATCTCAGTAGTAAGTCTGCCAGGTCATGCTGATTCCCCTCACTTCAGAATTACTTTCGCTTTCTCACCTTTATAAAGACTCGGAGGAATACATATACTTGCCATTCAGGTTGACTAGAGATCGTGTGTAACCAGAGTGTGCCTGAATGACAGTTGCGCTGACGCCTAAAGTGTTCTACCCATCGATCATATCTCCTGGATTGAGAATGAAAATAGGCTTATACATTTCCGTGACAGTCTCATTAACAGTCGGAATTCCGATACCCGTTTCCATGATAAGTCTGAATAGTTGTCTACTGTTATCTGTTGCCTCTGTCTTTTACATCTCTCTTGCTTTTGCTCAGCACCATTGTTCCTGATCAGTGCGTAAGCTTTTTATCAGCCTGTGCTTGAGCTTACTACGCTCCTTAACTTACGGGATGAGTTTCCGAGCAACTATCAGTTCATTTTATGTTTCTCAAATCCACTGTTTAGCCTAAACCTCATGGTTTAGCTTACTGGCAAGCATTACTGCTGTCTCCACAGTCTTTTGGATATCATGCCAAGCCGCCTCAGGGTGGTGATTAGTTACATGGCTGCCTAACTGCTTTTCCAGTTACTGCTGAAATATATTCTCAACTTTCTTATCGATAATTAGAACCATGAGAGGTTTCCTAGCAGTGTCTTCGTGAATCCAGTAAGATGCAGACAGATACATGCTCGTACTCGAGCATGATTTGAATCTAAACATGTACTCCAGAGTAAGTGACATCAATTTATCTGAGAACATTTGCAGCAAACAGTCTCCACCATAATATGCATCCAGGTGTCTTTACCTTTCACTTAGTCCACCTACTTAAGCATTGAAGTCAACAGCCACTATTACTATATCAGAGTGCTTAACCTTTTGAAGAAGGTTAGAACGCTTTCTGCAAAGCTCATCTTTTACCTCGTCCAGTCAGTGGGATTGTGGGCAGAGACAATGAAAGGGCGAGGGCGTATGTCCCTATCTTAGCTACTTTCCGCTTAGTCGGGCAGTGACCTTCTACTTAGATCCATTTTAAGGGAGATCGTTCAGCATAAGAACTCAGTGGAATACCTGAGCTACCGAGGCCACGTGAAGCAGCACCAGGATTTCTAGATACATGAAGCGTAAATCAAGACGGTCGTTTAACTGGACAAGGTGAGGTCAAACGAAGGATTCTACACATATCCTGTATGCCTGTTTTTGAGATAAAGCATATATCGATGGCACGAGATTCTAAATTCCTAGATAGAGGATCATGTTATTGTATTTGGGATTAGATCCGAACATTAGAGGCTGCAATATGTAGTATGGAGAGGAGCTTCAGGAGACCAGGAATTATATTTTGAACTCGAAATCTTAGCATCAGCGGCGCGAGGTGGCAAAGGAATGAAAGAGTTGATCGTGGAGATAAGAGTTATTATAAGTGTATGAAGGATTCGATTGTGAATTATTTAGTCTCGTGTGCCAATACAGGTATGTGCGCGGATGCTTCTTCCGAGCCGCCCACTCTGTAGGAGGGTGTTTCTTGAGGAAACTAAAATGGAAGTTGGATTAGTGTTGGTCTCAGAGACCAGGAAGCGTGACCACATAGCTCAAAGGGGAGCTGCTTAACGCCGGCCACGTGTTAGCTCGATTCTTCGAATGGCTTTACGGACATTTTCCAATCCCTTCCTTCCTTGTGAGAAGGCAGCATCATCACTTCAGACACTCATTTTCCAAGGGAAACACCTCACTGCTGTCACATACCTTTGCGGTTGGCAGTACTACTACGCCCTAAGAACTTACGTAGCTGCTAGCTGTTAGTGTTGCCGTCCCGCTAACGACCCACTTGGCATGCTAGGACATAAAGGAACATTTTTCACAGACAATATAGCCCTGTTGGATCATCGTGTTGTGGAGCCCGACCACCACGTCAAGGTAGCAGTTTCAGTCGTGTTATCTGCATAGCTACACACTTGTTGTGAGATCCAGACTAAATGGCGCTTGTAAAGTTCGTTGTGAGCTGAACAAATTCTGTGAATCAACTGATCGTGAATTGATAATTCATAATCACATGCAAATAATTTCATTGTGATCATTACGTACCTGCTTAGAGAGTTCTGGTGCATTGCCGTTTGATGATGGAGAACAATCGGATCCCATGGTAATTCAAGGAATTCTATACAAACAAATATGTACAAGTGAGAGATCGAGACAGAAGCAAATTGCAATGTAATTTAAATTTATGAAGTGAATGCATTTGGTTCATTTCTCAGCTATTTACAAACATCTGAAAGTGATGACTTCTTACTTAGATTTATGTTCAGTTATACACACAATTTATACTGTTGTTCCTTTCTGCTAAAATATATTTCGATTTTCATTTTGTATACCTCCGTTGAAAATAAAGTTAAGCTTTTGAGAATTTCATCAAATCGAATGTGGAATGAGATAACTCAGGCAAAAAATCTCGATATTCCATAGCCAGATACTTTCGACTACATGTATCTCAATGAAGATAAATATCGATAAATTGTTCAAGTCAGCTATCACTAATGATTTGTTTCTTGTACCACGTGATACAAATACCAGACAAGAATGGTGGATTAATCGAACACCTGGCTCTTTTTCGGTGTGTTGAACGGATAACTCTGCATGATGAGTGGATTACCAATGTCTTAATCACAATATTATCTTTCCCACTTGCAGAGGTTATATTACATCTTTGTGGGATATAATGTGAACGTTCCTTTTGAGTTTTGTTATTGTTGATAGATTGGCTGATAGAGAAGTCATTTGTAACCACTAAGTGAAGTCCTTTGTTTCTTCAGCTTATTCATAACACAATGAAGGAATAGATAGTAGCTATTATTACATTCTTTAGGTGTTTACATCTAATAATAATTCTACCTTAGTAACAATCAATTAATCTATCCACTATGTCTGTATCTAGCAATGGTAATGTCTAGCTTCGACTGATTCACGGTCTTTCGCAACCTCATAAACTCTCTTCTGTGAGCACTGCTGATGAGTCCCATACCTGAATGAAACGGCTGTCCTTCAGTGCTTCCAGGTTTCTAATGTTGGTCTAACATTGATCGATTGATGATTTCAAAAGGCAACTCAACAGTTACCACAACTTCGCAATGTCAAAGTCATCTAAGGTAAAATTCCAGTTGCATTTAGGAATCGCTTTACTGTTATGTTATGAAACAGGACCACTGCTAGTCTTTTCGAGTTGTGAGTATACAGTCATAGGTGTTTTGTTGGCAATACTGGATTATGGTGGAGCCACATTTACAACAACTGTCAAGACCAGAATATCTTTTCAACGGAAATGAAGACAGTCGATGAGTTTGTGTCACGTCTATCGACTGAGGTGGCTCAGTCGGGTGGTACACATCACAAATCTGAGAAGTTGTTGATTTGTTCCTTCCATCTGAGGACGATATTTGAAATATATCTGTCCTCGAACTGAGAATTATTATTTCAAGAATGTCGTAGCGGAAAGTGAATGATGATAGGTAAGTGAATCGTTTCGATACTCTCACAAACACTTGTACCGCTTACCAAATAGATTGTGCAGGACCTCTGTTGGTCGGAGTACCAATGATTCATATTTGATTGTGGTGCATCGTTTAGATCCGATGGCTTTACATGCTGTTAAAAACTGACCTACTCGAGTTTCCCATGCGGAAAATCTATCATCGATTATTGTAGAGGTTCCTCTAATCTTAACATTTCGCCTAAAATTTTAAAATTAATTGAAAAAACAAATCAATTGATTTATCTGTTAAAATTTGAAATCACGTTATGACAAGAGTAACCGAAAACGTTTTTCATCCTTTAGATCACTCGTTCATTGGATTACGTTCAACAATTCTTACAGAATTGTTAAATTCTATCTAAATTGTATGATAAACACAAATGTTATGTTAATGAATGCCTAAATATTTACTGCATTCAATATTTCCATTGTATTCTAAACAATCGGAGCATCTCTTGAAATGATCAATATTGCCAATGGAAATCTATTATTTTTGGTCTTGAGTGTAAACAAAAAGAAAATAAAGGTCACTATAGTTAATGACAATAATAATTAATAAACTTTATTTATTGGAATATATTATTTATTGAAAAATATTTTAAGCAGCTAGTACACTCAGGTCTAAGATTGTTGGAATTAGTCAGCAGGAAACTGTAAACTTAATTTTCATGCTCTTTAGTCCTTATCGTTGTGATGTGTCTGTTATCTTGAGAAAAAATGGTGAGCTCTGAAGGAAAAAGCGAAATGTAAGTTATTCGTTGTTTAGTGAACAATCACCTGTTATCGCATATCAATCTTCCAAAGGAAACTAGTTGTTCCGCCAATGGTTCAATGATGATAACAAATGCCGTTTCCAGTTCATTTTTTAAAAAACAGAACTGGTTGTACAACATATCGCTGAAACTAGTAATTGGATTATATTTGAAATGAAATTTTCATTGACTACTGGATTCGTAATTAGAAAACAAGCAATATGAATTCGAGTAGAATTCAAATCCTCACTGTCATCTAATCTTTCGATATTTCTAATAATACAAGAGAGTTGAAGGCATATGAACTTTTAATCAAAAAAACAGTCGGAATAGTTACAAAATTAGATAAATTAATTTTAATCAAAAATAAACAAACAAACAAACATTCCTTATGAAATGTGAAAGTCTCCTTTCAGTAATTTATTTTATGACATAGCAAATTGTTTTTGTTTCTAATTTTTATCAATTATTTCATCAGATGACTAGTCAAAATTGTAATGTTTTTGTGAATAAAATTTAATTCGTAAAGTGAAAACAAAATAATTGAATGACAATTGTATCTAACAAAGTTCAGATGATAGATTAAACTAGGTTTATTTCTCACATGATATGTTGTAATAATAAGTGGCTATCTCGTCATACTAATATGTTATGTCGCCTTACGTTGATGATAACTAACTTATTGCTATTTATATTTCATAATATTTCCAAATAGTTCTGTTCATGTTTACAAATAATGTCTATTTTGTATACAATGAAAAAATTTTCATTTATGATTAATAGCATTAATAATCATGAAAGGAATTTATTCAGTGACTCCTCTTTAAATAAGATGATAAGAGGAAATTTCACTGCACACTAAGTCATTACAACTCTTTCAAAAAATTCAATCTCTTTTGCTGAACATCAATTCATGACATTTTAGATAACTGTAAACAATGTGGAAATTGGATTATTCAAGTTTGGTTACCATTTCTTTCATTGTTTCATACAATCCAATATGAATAGTTGAGTGTTACTCAAATGCACAATGGCTTAAAGTTCAGTTCATGAAAAAGTATTAGCTTTATTGTGCAAACTATTCGAGGAAAACAAGGCTGATCACAAAAATTAAAGTCTCTTCAATCAAACCATTCAACTCACAGCAAATCACATCACTCAAAGGTGACAGTATTATAGTATTAAATAAAGTTTTCAAAAATCAATATGTCTGTTATTTTTCCACACATAAACAATCCGTGATACCATTTTTGATAAAAAAATAAACATTTACTAAGATTTACAATTCATTATTAACATATTTAGTAAACTGAATAGAATGGTTTTGTTACACGTTGAATGAGCATGTAACGTATCAAAGAGTAACTCATTTGTATTGGTTAATTGAATCTTCCCATTGATATTTTGGACAGCAATTGGCCAGTCCCCATTTCACAAGCCAGTGGCTATCTGGACTAAGTAGTAGAGTGGATAACACGATAGCGTTTGAAGCGAATGTTACTGACTGGGCACCAACTTTCAGATGCAGACGAGTCCCATACAGAACAAAGCGCACGTCCTGAATTTCACTGCTAACCACGATTCACCTCTGCTTTCAATGCTTCAAACCTAAAGGCAATACTGATATAACCTCTACTAATATGAAACAATGTTTAGGCTTTCTGATTTATTGATTTTTCTACGTTCCGTTAACACAATACCAGGAAAAATAAATAGAAACTTCAAAAACCCTCTTACTACATAGTAAAACTGTTGTGTAGATAAAAGTCAGTCATTCATTTTGTTTCTGTCATCAGCTGATTAAAGTTTAATGTGAAATTAGATTTTAAATACATCATAGTAACAAAAAGACAAAACTTAAAAAAAAACTGTGTAAACATTAAAACACATCAGTTAAGCATGTAAAGATGAGACTTTTATGAATTCTATTTAATGATATATAAGTAATAACTGGCTGATATTAGCTAAAAAGATCTTTTCAACACTATCAAGCAAGTAAAGAATTTTTGTTCCATTTCAAAAATTTTTAAACAGTACACACACAGAAAACACTACACCAGATCGAAACTAAAAACTTAAAGTGTCACAGTAAACATAAATTCATTAGTACAAATTCTTCTTATTCAATCTGTAACTATTGATTAATTGATCAACTCAATAACTTACTGGTTACTTGTTACGGTTGTGAATGAATTTAGTGAATTCTTACTAATTAGCTTAGTAAAGACTGATATGGCTAAATGCAAAGAAAATGGATTTTATTATGCTCCGACAGAAGACCCGGTTCAAATCCAACCGCTATTCAACAGACAAACTGAATAGATTACTGAGTTGTATTATATATAACTACCTTGTGGACAATCAGATTTGAAGATATCAAACGATATGGAAGTTGACATTAACTAATCAATAATTTAGTGAATGTACACAGTTTACAGTAACCACAGAATAACTATTCTAACTAATAAATATGACCTAATTACTGAGTTACTCCTTCCAAAATACAAAACTGATCTGATTTTCACAGTTTTACTACACCATTGATAAGATATTATTCTAAATAAATTATAATTTAAAAAAAAAATAAAAAAAATTAAAAAAGTTACACCTTTATTAATCAAAAAAATAATAAAAAGAAATAAAAAAATGTAAAAAATTTAAAATTTTTTTAATTAAAATCTGAATTTAAGTTTTTCTCTTTTGTTTTTTGAATGACATAACAATGCTAATCATTCGATCTAATCATTTACTGACTATTGTACAGTTGATTTGATTAATTTACTAGGTCATAGCTTGATTTGAGCAATTTGGGAAATTCATTTCATCAGATCATTGTTTACCATGTTAAATGTTGAAGAAATTTTGACAGTCAGTGAAAAAACAAACGGTTGAGTAGGTTGACATATTGACATTTTATTAAATTATATTGAAATTTGAATGTTCGGTTTTATTGATATAAAGGCAATTATATGATTGTTATTTTTCTTACAAACAAATTTCAATAACATGCTATGAAATTAATTGTAACTTTTTTTTCATAAAATTATGATTAATATTTATTTGTAAAAAAAAAATAATCATAAATCAACTTGTTAATCGATATAAATAATAATTGTAGACAAATTAGTTTAGAATTATTCGTAAATTTATGAAAAAGAAAAACTGTTGTGACTAAGTATGTAATTGACCAATACTTATATATTTGTAATGAAATTTCTACAACTAACTAGCAATTTGTTTCTTCAGTCAACGATCAAGAATGTAGCATTTAGATAATCTAATAAATTCGCACCAAAATTGATAAAGAAAGCTTAGCTATTCGATTTATTACAACATTTTCAGTAGAGTAGACTCGAGAATACTGAGTGAGTGATTATGAATGAGAAAAAATCAAATAGTTCTTTTCTCGAGAGATTTTATCTAAATTCATTCAAAATTTGTTTTAATCAATACATCTATATCTAACTTCAATGTTTTTGTTCGATTTTCAACAAATTAACTGACTGTACAAGTATTTGTGATAAAAATTAACTTCATGGTTAAATTACAAAGCTTATAATAAATAGAAAGATATATGATTGGATATTGCGTCAGTAAATTATTATACAACTCAGTGCTATGAAACAATACTATATTTTTTGTATTGTCTCAGTCTGTTTGACAATATTCACTGCTCATTTGTGAAAAATTGAATAAAAACTATTTTTCCACAGCTTTAGCCTCATTCACATAGATTCTTCCCACTGCTACAAGTAACCTCATTAAACAACTGCTTGATTAGAAATTCATCCTAATAATTTACACTCGACCAAACTTCATAGACCATGTGATACATTGTTAATTTATATGCTAATGAAGAAACTTGATATTAAATGTTTTCTACATAATTAGAAACTTCCATTTACCATTTATCATAGTAATCAATACTTTCAAATGAATTGTATTCAATGATGTTTTCATAATCAGTGAATACCTACTTATCATTCGGTAACAGTGACGTCAAACAACAGTCGAAAGTGTTATTGGTCATGATTATTTCGTTCATCGAAATAAATTAGATAAGCTAATTTGTCAATTCTACTGTAAATATTTTAGTGCTATCAGATTTCTAAAATCAATAATGTGAATGTAAGCAGTACTGTAGTATTCGACATACGTGTCATTTTGATTGATAAAATGTTCATTTCACTTTCTCTCTATTCAACGCGCTATAATTCCAAAATACTTTAGATAATAAAAGATGCTTCATTTGCAATATATAATTTATCATAAACTTCTACTGATTGTGTTTATTCCACAACATTAGTAATTGTAATTTCAACTAATATGAGTAGTTAATAATACTACTTTAAAACTCGATTCATCTGAAAACATACAACTAGAAGGTAGAATCAACCGATCATTGATTGTTTTGGTGATTTATTTAATTTTTTTCTCTTGTTTAATCATTTATCATTTGATGAGTAATTCATATCTTAACTTCAATTGATTATTCTGTACATAAATAATAACTTATATTTCTTCGGAACATATATATTCAATCATTTGATGAATTGTTTTAATCCCTGAAATTCATAAAACAGATTCACAATCATTCCACTAGTACTGTCAATCAATCAATCAATCATTTATTATTATGATTATTGTAATTATAGTTAAACTACAAAATTAAATATTTATTGAATACAGTGTTTTACTTTCTACATACATCTGTTTATGCAATCAAGAAATTTACTAAAAACATTTTTTTTTCGAATGCTAAACAAAGTCTCGACTCAAGACTTAGAGAATCAAAATATTCTACAATAAATATAATACATTCTATGAATTATGAATTTATTTATACATGGATTGCTCAGCTAGTAGTTTGTAGCATACAATGATTTATTAAAAGGATACTTAGTAAAGGCTAATTACTGAATAATTTGTGACTGAATGATAATATTGCGTGTGTTTCACTTAACAATTGTATCATGAAGAAAACGACTATATTTTGTCCTGACGTGAACAAAGATAAATTAGCTGAGTAAATAAATTTTAATGTCAATTATAAACTAACTCATTCCATGTTCATTTTAATCTTGAATAAATGAAAAATTTATCTACAAAAATGGTGCATGCATGTTATGAAAAAGTTTAATTGTCAGCTTTCCGAATTAATTAGCTTCTTAGAAAAAGTTAATAAGATATGCAATATGATTTTTAAAAAATGAAAAATCAGTATGTTAATTAAAACTGAAATATTATTGTGAATGAAGTGCACACCTTAGTTGAAATGTATTTAGCGGTATAAAACATATGCAGTAATCTTATTAATGACTAACGTCAATAATGATATCTTACTTTACTAATGAATTAATCACAGCACGCCCATCACGTACCATGTGAATAAATTTCGCCTCAGGAAATATTTGCGCCAAATATTCAAGATGGATAAATGATAGTGGATCTTTATTACATAGAACAGGTGCATCTTCTCCAGCATTTTTGATTAAAGACAATATAAATGATCGTAAAGCAGAATCAATGGCAACTGGATACAGGCCAGCAGCTTTAAGTCGTTCTCTTTCTTTTCCTCTACTCCATTGACCTTGTAAGTTGAGGAGCTTCGGTATAACTCTAGTTTCAGGACCGCACCGAATCATTGGATGTACATCTAACAAGACACGCATAAGAGTGGTGCCTACATGTAAAGAACAAGATACGTCCGAATAATAAATATAACTATACTCATTAATTATATTGCTCATTTTATATAAAATTTAATATTCAATATGAATGTAGATAGTGTATTGAAAAGTTTTAATTTCTCACAACTGTGTGATACATCAGTACAGGACATTTCAAAAAGTTTGATCACACATTTGCATATTATTCTTATGAAACTCAAACATAAAAATAGATTGATATACAACATAAAAATAACAAGATAAATCATACTAATATCGATATGAAATTAAAATCAAAATTATCATAGTAGATTTAACATACATATTCTTATAATTTTTGAACTCATTACGAAGATTCAAATAATCGCCTAGCTATACTTGAAACAAGTATTGTCTCTAAACCGTATTAATAAAGTACCTGAAGCGTCTACTTAAGATCTATTCTACGACGTATTTCAACTTAATGTTTCAAAATAGAGAAGAATGAGTGTTTTTCATATGTTCTTATTGAGTAACTGGAATTTACCTAATTTTACCGTATTTTCGGTACATTTCTAATCCCAATACTTTAAAACCACAATCACTCCCGACGTATATCTGATAACATATCCAGGAATAAAAAATCAATTAAATGGAAACCAATCGATAATTCACAAAATATAGTTGTTGAATATGACCTTTCATATCTAAATATTAAATCAAGAGAATAGTTACAAATCGAAAGAAAATTCATTTGAATTCAAATCAACCTGAGGAAAAAGTGCTTCACTTAAAAAGTAACAACTCTCAGTTTGTACGAAATGTCTGCTAATTTATTTTATAATAAACACAATTCATGGGTAAGGTGAGTAGTGTTTATGTAAAAATGCATAGTCAAATAAATAATTACAGAATGATGTAAATGATTACATACAGCAGGAAGTATATTGTCTAGCTGGGTTCATCGGAGTAGGTTTTTTGTTTCATATGTGGCTAGTACATTGACAGAAAGATAAGTCAGTGTAATGTTGACGTTCAGCAGATGTCTATTACATTTTGGCAGAAAGTTTAACAAACGTATTATTTTTAGCGACAGTAGTTTATTATGTTATCTTATTTGTTATCTTAACTTGCTTATATTTAAACCTCACAGCACAACTAATCGAAAATGAGATTCCTTGAGTAATTTTCAATTCACCGCCAAGCACATCTTCTATAAACTGTAGTACTTTCTGAAAATATTTCTTTCATACGAGATTAAAAGATCTGTCAAAATGTGAACACCTTCACATCCAAAAGGTCTTGCTCTTTTTAAAACATTTGTATTGATAGTTTGAACCTTCCCATTGACGGTTAGAACTGCAATTGATCGGTATCATTTGGCATATGTGAATCCTGTGTTGACTGCCTCGACTCAGGCTAACAACACAAATGTATCAAGCTTCATTCCATTTATAAAGCTAGTGGCTATACTAAATCAGTAGCCAAGTGGACAACGTGCTGGCTTTTGAAGTAAACGGTCCTGGGATGCAGTTACATCCAGTAGACGAGTTCACAATAGGATGAAAATCAAATATTGTATTTTGTTTATATAAGTCTAAAATCTACATTCGATTTTGAATTCAGCTGTCAATTGTGAATTTCAAATACAGATGCAGTATATTGTAATGCCTACATAACTGATCAATAAGATCTTCGTTACTGCAAATGACGATATTACCTTCAACACCTTTTAAATTCATCTACATTTATTTTATCGTATTTTTGAGTTTGGTACTTTGTAAATGTCTTGGAAAAATATTACCCAGTGTCATGGCTGGTGAACTACTAGTGACCATACCTTGTGTTAGTCAATTAAACCTTTTTGTTATAACCCAATCTATGCATACTTGTGCAGTAAAAACAATTATTTTTTCATTTTTGTAAAGTCTATCCCGTCAGTATTGAAATATTTTTTTACGTCGTATGAAAGAGGAGTTCATTGCTTCAATTTCTGATTAGGATTTAATTTAGCTTTACATTTTGAGTACATTGTTAATAAAATGAAACTTATAAAAGAACTTTCTAATTAACCAATAATCTACAAAAATATCACCTGTTTCAAAATTAAAAGAAACAATACATTCATCCTAGGTGGAAAAATTCATAGATCAATGTAAATAAATGTAAACTTGGAGATATTCATCTTTATAAGAAAAGTAACTTTTCATCAAATATACAAATGCATTAGGTGGAAGAACACTCATGGTGTACTAAATAACTTGTTGATATTTTGTACATATGTACTCTTTAAAAACGTTATTCAAGAACTAATTGATACGTTTATTCAAATCGGATGATCACAACCACCTCATATAAAATTAGCGTGTCATTAAGTGGTTAGAAATTTTCAAATAACAAAAATACTCACATGCTAATTTGAATGAAACCAAAAGCTCATTTTCTCTAAAATACCAATGATCATCGTTTATGAAACGGGACTGGATCAAAATATACCAATAGACTGTATCATTACTGTCTGTATGGTTACCTCTAGAAAAAATGTCCTATGAGTATAATCGATCTCAATGAACGTATAGAATTTACGTCTTCTGGAATGATGAATTCAATTTTCGTATTATATTGAGAGAAATATATGTTGTTATCTCATGATACCGGAAGTTACTCTATTCATTCAAACCAAAAACACATCAGATTTATTTATTGCATTATACCAATATTGAAATCCTACTTTATTTCAGAAACTCATTAAGATTTAAGATTCTTTACACGATATTTTAACCATTTAATTTTACGGTGTTTAATGACATTAGACTTGTTTACTAGAAATTCTAATTAGTGTGTCTATCACGCCAAGAGCTCAACTTTTACATTTTAAATAGCATATTATAATTCTTCATACATACTGAGATAAATTTCTGAATATATACTACTCCGAAAAAAATAGCTAATGGTTCTAGTCTGATTATCAGTATTTATGAAAATAAAACAAGATATTTACCTACCACTTCTTGGATAACCTCCAATAAATATAATTTGTTGTGATTTATTTGAAGTACTATTCAATTCAGGTTCAATTATGGTGAAAAAGCCAGTAAATATATGACAAAACAATGCAATGGCAAACAAAAGGATTATCATATACAAAAGTACGGATCTTCGAAATATAATCTGAAATAAGAAAAAATTCAAAATATAGAGAGTTTGATCGAAAAAATATTCATTTTTATTTTTATAAATAAAAATCTACACTGGATAACCAGGTAATTTCTTTCCTCAAGAATTTTAATACGTTTCTATTCGGTATTGGAAATCGATTTGAAATGATGAGTCAATCAGTAGACGGTGGGAATCGATTTCTTTTCCTGAGTTGAGATCAACAAATTCATAGAAGTATGCATCTGAACTGCTGAAAGATTTTAAACAACTATTTCCAAAAGTTTGTATTTCCGATAAACTAATAACGTAATGATAAAAGGAAAACACAAAATGCGATAATTCATTCATTCATTATTGTTTTGTCGAATTGTATACATGAGAAACACTCATGCAATAGGTTATATAACGCAGAACCGATCAATGATATGACTCATTTTCTCTATTTAGTATTTTACAGTCCCATCACCTTCATATTTTAACTGATATATTGTTCACGTTAAGTATACCGTCATATAATAACGAGTTCTATGCAGATCAAGATTATTTTTCCAGTTAAAAATTAGGAAATGTGAATCATAAAAACCCTACTGTGAAATTATCCCAAAAGTTTCCACACAATTGACCGGTAAATAATATAGTTGCACCTTAATAAATTAATTCATGATTTCGAATGCCTTGTAGTCAATCATTTTTATTAAAAAGAATGTCTTGAAGAATAAGCCTCATCTAGTATTCTGTTATAAGCTGCAGTCATTAGAACCTAAGAAACTAGGCTTTATGCCTATTAGTGATCACGGTTTCTTTTAGATTATTGTGTTTATGCTCATAATCTCCAACCACAGTCTTATCAGACAGTCTAAGAATAAAAACCGAATTCACTTCAGGTTATATCTGGACTTAGACAAAGATGTTCGTTGCTGACCACAAAGTATAGAAATTATTGATCAGATATCAACTAGTATAAACGTATTCTAAAAGGTTTTCCTAAAGTTTCACGTTTATCGGTGAATGAGAATTTCATTCATTCATTTAGATACTTAAAAAACTTATGAATAAGAAGAATTTCAATTTCATTCTGTAACTAAAGTGTTTTCAGATGAGACAGTGTTAGCCTTACTGCCAGTAAGATCATATAACTAATGGTTTGACTACGACAAACCTCATAACGTACATTATCATATGACTTCAACCAGACAAACAGCAGCTTACAGATGTTACTGCAGTTTTTTAGCTGCAAAATATTGAGTTAGCATACATTATTATATATTTGAAAATCAAGTCAATTTGGAATTTTGGTCAATCATCATCCACTCTTCTACATGATGAACTCTAAAAATATCTAATAATAAGAGTGTAACAAAACTTTTTTCAGGTTTCGATTTCGTTTTAATACTTTTGAATATCGGAAAGCTTTTATCTAACAGTTCATATCCTTTTTTATCAAACGTAGTATCATACTGACGTTTTGCTTTAAGTTTGTTATAAACCATATACTCATCTATTTGTCTCTGGAAATACCTAACAAAATGGCCAAGCTTGCAAAACTTACCTTCCAGATGTGAAACTAAATTCAAAACAATGGTAAATACAATGTTTGTAACAACAAGAGTCTAAAAAAATAAATGTTTTTGTTTTATATAATAAGGAATCGCTTTTCAAAAAGCTGCAGTAAGCTGATGGTTGAATAGCTTCAGCAAGTTAGTAATTTAACTTTTCTCAGACCCATAAATAGTAATACTCTACTAAAAACATCTAACTGGTATTAGAGCCTAATGGATTATATAACTTTACGTGGTCAGTAAATCAAGATTTATTCATTTTCTGCATTCATGTCTAAAGAAGGTTCAGGGCTTTTTCCTTGCACTTTCTTGCCATTTTAATCTCATTATGGAGAAGACATCCCATTACTAATGCATGAAATAAAATAACTTGGAAACGTTTCTTTGGGTCATTGTTAGAGATATATAAAAGTATCGCGAGAGATTAGATCTTTTTAAGCGAAGACAACAACATTATTACGTTATTATACTAAAGCAACAAAATATAGATAATTCGAGTAAAAATAATTTCGATTTAACCTTGACTGATGATAACTGGTATCACTCACTTGTGGATTTACATGACATACTTAAACCGAACAACACTAGCAAAGTGATCAAAAACTTCAGTCAAGGCAAATGTGCATAGAATACAAAACATAAATAATAACCTAGTGGTTAAGAGAGTAGACAAAGATTACCATTTTCGTCTTCTTGATGATCATTTCGTTTTCAGAAACTCTGAAGATTTTTCAAAACAGCTTCGTTTATCAGTTGAATAAATTTGAATGCTTTTCGGAATCAAAAGCTTGTTTATGTATGATCTCTCCAGTATATTATGAAGAAGGATATCTAAAAGTAAGTGAAATTAATGAGGAACAGTCTTTTGCAGCATAATTTCAGTGTTCACATCTTACCTACTTAACAATCAAGCAAGATTGTACATTTCTATACAAAGTCATGTAATAAGCGAGAACGGATTGGGAGCTGAGTAAAGGCTTCTCTGCATTATTATTATTATTAAGTGTCATAAGCATCATATTTTATGATAACAGTGAATAACTTTAAAATGACTCAAAAACATAAAAGCCATGGTCAAAGAATTTGGGGCGAAGTGCTTTAAAACTGTGTTTTACAAGAAATGAGCCTAATATTAAATACATAATTTGGGGCCAACAGACCACGGATAGTATTAATTTATTTTAAAGACGCACAATTAATGAAATGTAAAGAACGAGCATATACTACACCAATAAATTTCAATAACTGTTTAAATCTTCATCACTTATTTGCGCAGACAAGGTTAAAGGCCTGAGAGTGATTCTGTTATATCTTCAAAACATGGAGTTCGTAAAATAATCCAGCAATTGTCAGAGAAGCAGCTGTACTGTATATTCTTATTATTTTTTAATGCATTCTTTATTTATTACAACTATAATCTCTTATCTTGCTTATGTCACAGTGGCCAATTAACAACAATGGAGGTCTTAACACCTATTCCTCGAGCTCCTTCTAACCTGGTGGTTAATCAGAGAACAGCATTAGCTAAAACACAGCTTTCTATAACGTATAACAGTTTCTGACGTCAGACATTTATGCCATAATATAGAGTCATTTCATCAGTACACATCTTTAACAAAAACTAAGCAATAATCCCGTCATTAACTAATGAATTATGGAATACAAGCATACAGCGATAATCATGTACCAGTTAGAGGCAGCCAAATAAAGGTATACAAGGATATAACAGTTCAAGTATTCAATACTTATACAACAAAAATATAAACAACGATTCCACATAAAGTAGTTATAACGGTTCCCACATTCTCAATACTCTCTAAGTTGTAATAAAAAAATTTTGGTACAAACGATTTAAATCTTCAGACTGATTTGAAGGAATTATCTACATATCTTAAGTACTGAAAAGAAACCAAAAAGAAGCGCAATAATGCTGACACTGAAATACTAGATATCGGCACACTATTGACAGTATGTCATAGTGTAAAGTTATGGAACACAGTTATCAAGATGCTGTAACGATTCACTAATTGAAAACAACTGCACAACAAAATGTGACATGCTCCACATAGTGTCATGAGTTTTGATAACTTCTAAGAGCCTTGGAATGATGCGATGAACAACTACGTCCCATCTGCGGAAGCCTACTCCCATACTGTTTCAACAAACATTCTATGGTCGCCAACTGTAATTAGCATCGTGCCAAAGATCAAGATGCCCTTAAGCAATTCCAGTGCGTTGACAGAAAACTAGTCAAACAACATTTTCTAAGAGGAAGTAGTAATAATACTAGACCTGTTTCGTACTGTTGCTGAAATTGTCTCGTATCCCATTACAAAAGAAATGAACTTAAACATGCCAATTTTACCCACATTAAAACAATCACGATCACAAAGAGGTTCAAATACAAAGATTTTAGTATCTGAGGTATCTTTTTCACAGGCTGATATAGACCTACTGACTTATTTTTTCTCGCTTTTTGTTCTTTAAATACGTTTTCGGGTATCTGATAGTGTTATAAGGATGGAATTCTAGCCACTCAACCACACCAATTCCAGTCAGTTGACAGTTCATTATGGATTTGTATGTCCTGTGATTTGAGTGAGTGCATTAGTCTCAGAGCCGAAAGATGTGTATATATCAGCAGCCATCACAATACCGGATCAAAGATCAGTCAGTCGCAATGTGGAGAATAATAAGGCGAAAATTCCAATGCTAATAAGATGAAAATTTCGGAACTGTGTTACTAATGAAATAAGTTGATGAATTGTCAGTGAAGATTATGTGAGAGGATAGAAGTGTAAGCAAAGAAGAGGAAACAAAGATAATGAGAAAAATGAAATAAGCTAGTTAGTTGAGAGAATGACAATGATAATAGCTGGCAAGTTTCGAGAGGTGCATCAGGCATAAATGGTCTTAGAGGGAGATGATAAATCGAATGTGAATACGTGTTTATCAAGCCTCTTCTTAAAGCTACCTACTGAGAGGGCTGGGATCACTTTGGCTGGGAGATCATCTCATGATAAGATAACTCTTAATGATAAAACTTTTGCACGAACCTAAGTATTCACTTTTTCATGTGCAATTTTTCGAGGGTTACCTCGGGTGTGTGGTGGTGATGTTTTGACAAGATGCTCATGTTGAGGATGTTCGGTGTACTTAATATGTTGTGTGCCGTAATCACATCACTCCTGATTCTTCTATAACCCGGTGAGAATGTTTGCAAGTAATACGGACTATCTTCTCAGGATTTATTCTTAAACGCTATCACTCATTTAGTTGCTTATCTCTGCACTCGGTTCGAGAGATTTATGCCTGTAATCATGAGAGTTAAGAGCAATTGTGGGGTAATTGCATCAACCTTTCCTTGCATAACGTGAGGATTTTCATGAGAGTTGACCACATCCTTCATGTGGTTTGCACTTGTGTGCACTCACTGAGGAGATATTAGGGAACCGACTTACATTCAGAAGGTAAGTTATTTGCAGAATTATCATAACGTTAAACTATGACTAGCCAGAATTCAAATCGCTGTCATCTTTTCATTTCTCTGTTGCTATAAAGTCACTTTTGAGGTGATGCGAATCATCTTTGTTTCAAATTAACCCCGAATCAACACAAATCGAAACTCCTATCTCTCACTTAAACATTTATAAAATAAAATACTTAGGCCAAACGATCGTTGTTAGACTCTTTGTTGAACAACTTTAACGTTAAACTGGATTTTCACTAGAAGTATGTACTAAGGGTAACAAAAATCAACTAACCTGAAACACTTTACCGGAAACTGTACAAGCTCTCATATAAACTGTCACTGTACGTTTCCTGAATTCGAAGTCGTCTGTAAATTCAGAGACCCGTTTATATGTGAAGAAATGTTATCATTTCACAGAAAATGATTCGATCAAACCCTCGGTTTCGCCGACTAACGGAAAACAGTTAAACTTTTCAAATCATCGGTGATTATTCAACCTTGAGAAAACAGCGTCCAATATCCAACAGAAAAAACAAATATCCTGAAAGAATAGAAAAATGATCCGGAAGTGATAGCCAAAAAACTATGGTAAAATAAAAGTGCACTGATTGTAGGTTACATTATAAGTAGTCGGAGCACTTAGTTTATTAGAAATTGTATAATTTAACAAACTTTAGTGAATTTTCCATGGAACATAATGCAGTGAAAACGTAGCTGTTGGATGTTCGTTAATAACGGTTTCCTTGAAAGTCGTGGCAGCAAACGTCATGAATTACCTTCTCTTCTAAGTCTTTCTGTCCCCGCAAGCGTGGGAGAGACAAACCGTTTGTAGTATGCTGGAAGCTATCACTATGTGCGACTTTTTACCGAAATTACAAGCTACAGAGTAGAATGTAACATCTTCAGTTCGACGGTTAGGAATTAGTCCATGATTTGTTTGAAGTGTTAATATATTGCAGCCCAAGTATATATTTACTTTCTTATTATGTATGGGCATTATACTTCTCATTATTCTATGTTGAATGCTGAGACGTTTATGTGCCTAAATTCGACCCCCACTCACTGACAATCTCGTAACATGAACTGCCTGACTCAGTGGCTGCTCAATGTTCCTGGCTATTTTAATCAGAAAGAAAAGCTACAAGGATCTATTCAAACGAATAGCTTTGGTCAGGCAGCGTTCTCTATGTAACCAAAGTAAAGCCGGTTTACAACATCGTTCGCAATCTACTAAATATCTCTTGAAACAAGTTCGTACAGCTGTAAAGTCTACCAGATTCAACAGGTAGGCAGTAGAACGGACGGCTATAATAACAAATATGATATGTTTAGGATAACTAACATCACGAAATTTGAAAATTATGTGATCAGTTGACCGATAATTACGTTGGCAAGAAAAAGGTTCAAAACAAGATGGAATGTAAACTCTATGGCAACGATAAAAATCAAACATAAAAATGTTCACTTGCCTAACTGTTTGAAATTAAATAACTCTTCAAGCGTAACAATTCTTTTCCGGAAACTGAGCATAGTTGGAATAATTTTTTCTGGTAAAAATTCTCAGTGAGTTGGATTTCTACAGGATTGTGTCGCAAACCTTTTACACAACGTGCCTCGTTTAACCAGAAACGGGACCTGCAGTAACTCAGAAGAGTTCCGGGTGGAGTTCTCGGAAATTCAGAGCAACTGAATATTAGAACTATTTGAGCCTTATATTGCCAAAAAAGCAAGAGATTTTTCTTTCGACATCACTGTACATAAATTAACAGAAATTTTTACTACCCAGATTTCTTTATCTAAATTGCTCAATAACTAACTTAAGACCGTTAAGAAAGCTGAAAATGATTCTGTTTCATATACTGCGTTTGTTGCCAAGCAGTTAGGGAACTTTACGGTTATGTTGGCCGTAGAACAATGTTAAGTGACCTATTTTTGCGTGTAACTTAGCCTGGAGCCAATCTGGTGTTACTGCCGGTTCTCATCCCAGTTATGTCTAGCGACCACATTTCGTAGAAATGTTAGGATTCTGGAGTAACGAATACCCAGGTCATGCGCTGATATGAGTGTCTGAACCCCACAGTTTTGTAAGTAGATTGGTATTTCATGGTAATGCTTACTAAAATGCATGATGCAACATATGTTGTGGTCGAAAGTTATCTACCATGTTTCGCTCCAAATTTTAAACATTCTCTGTAGGCCTAGAATTAATTATTTGGATGGTGTGTGTAGACTTCCAGTTATCAGGTTAACACTCTGTGGAGGGTGATATAGTAAATAATTTAAGAAGAATAACGCAGATTATTGCTCCTATTTTTCAGCATGCCGGCTGGGATACCATCTTCTCCTTCAATGTAAGAGTGCTTCAGTTTACTAATCGCCTTAGAAATCTTCTGTACACTGGAGTCTACTCTGGCGATTTGACAAGAAGGCATTGGGGTCTTCATACACTTGGTTGTCCTTAATAAATACCCTCCCCACTTTCACCTTAGGGCAACTAAGTTTATTTCGAAGGATTTTAATCAGTGCAAAATATCCATTACTGAGCCAGACAACTGCCTTTTTAGTATGTATTATCTCTGCCTCGACACGTATTTCTGTTAACGTAACCATTGAAGAGAAGTCATTAAGGTTATGAAATCTGGAAGCATGTCTTCGAAGACGTTTTAGTATATCACCTGGCATGTCTTTCGAAATTCTGGATCTCCAAGATCCTAAGCGTACAAGTTTATTGAATATATTATTTGTGTTACGATAAAATGAATTTATTAGTTCATCTGTTCTGTTTCCGGTAAAGTAGATATTCCAGTGAGTGCTTCTGAGGCCATTCCGGAGGTTCGCCCAACCACTCTTACTGAAGTCTCTACGATGTGTAGTCGATTTATGTTTTATAGTTGTGGCTTCTTTATCAAGACCGCATTCAATGATATTATGATCACTACGTGGGAACGTTTTTCCAACATATACAGTATTAGGAATCAGATTGCTGGTCAAAACTACATCCAATATATATTTTGATGTCTGGCTGGCAACATATTCACTCCACTCTTCAAGCTCTAAATATTCAGTGAATGATTCAGATCGTTTAGGTGCTTTGATTGGGTACCAAGAGATTTCAAGCATAATGAGGTCCCCACAAATAGCTCTGTCTGTAAACGGTAGGGATGGAGTAAATGTGAATACTTCTGACAATATTGCTAGATCTGCTGCTGGTAGACACAACTGAATAGTAAGGAAACTGCATTTGAGGGTTTCAGAACGATCCCCACAGAATGTTGTAATTTACTTAGTTCCCGCATCTCACATAAGATTGGTTTAGGCTAGGGTGGGCACATATGAGGCATCCTCCACCTCGACCTTGTAACCTATCACTTCGGAGTAGATCATACTTTTCAAGCGATATACTTGGGTCAGAAAATTACTGGTGGTTCATTCCTCCGTTACCACTATAAGTGATGGTTGTTAAAGAGTCGCAAACATGACTAAATCTGTCTCTTTATTACAGATTGAACGAACTCTGATAAGAGCTGTACTAAACAAATGTCCCGTTGAGTTTAGATAATTGAGAAGTTACTAAGACCTACTTCGGTGTGGTATGAGGGGTCAGAAGTTGACATTGAATAAGTTACTGAAACTCCTAGGAGGGGTTATAAGCCTGGAAGAAATTGTGAGAACGTTGCTTGTCCGAGATTGTGTGGATCTAGTGGTGAAGTCCTCACTTATTCAGCTAGAAGTCAATGTCCATACGTATGGCATGTGCTTTTCACCTTTCAAGTGCAAATACTACTAAAAACTGTCAGGATCCTGAACATGCACTGACAGCTGGTAGTGAATGGCGCCGGTAGTGACATGAGTAGTGAGACAGTCACGTTTACTGGGAGCCGCAGTGGCTTATACGGAGGTCAACTGTCTTCAGGAACATTCATGATGTCAGTCTGGCAGTAAAAGGTCGGGTCTATAATAAGTTGGTGAGAGAAATATTGTTCTATATTTGTGAAACCTGGTCTCTCTCAATGGCATATTAGTGAAGTAAAGGTTCGGCAACGTGTATTCGGGTACATCAACGATAATTCCCTTGATATCACCATCTTGAAACACCGTCTTCAGTGGCTCAGATGTTTATTACGAGTGATATCTCAATGAATTCTAGGTAGAAAAAGAAAATCATATGGGAGTGGCATCTATTGGTTATTTACAACTACCTGGTTGGGGCCGTGTAGATGGTCTACCTCTTTTTAGACATTACTCAAAATATAAGCCAATGAGGTTCCTTTCATGACGATTTTATTTGCATAAGTAAGGGAAGCTTTTTTAAATATAAGAATTGCATCTCGGGGAGATTTCTTGTTCGAATACGAGCCAAGAAACAAATCATAAGATGTATGACCTGCGGAAAGAGTCAATTTTCGGCCCCACAATGTGTTGAAGATTTACAAAACAAGAAGTGGCCACGAGTTACCTGTCGAAAGCCCTGAATCTCGATTCTCTGTCCTACCACCATCTTGGGAAGAATGCATGGCGTTGCCAGGTATTTTTTAGTGATTGTCGTAAAACTCCTTCGATTGACGATTCAATGGTAAATTGTTACCACTATTTCAGGAATACTTTGGAGTTACAGTAATTCATGACTTGAAAACAACTGCACAGTGTGATGCTGTAGCCGCCAAGGGTTTGCGAGAATTGTGGTCAATTTACCGAGCGTTTAGATGCACTGATGAGAGTGCATTTCGGGTTTTATACCACACTACATTAGCAACGAGTCGTCCCAAACTTTTCTGCGAAGAGCGCTTGAATCACCCCTTATCCAACCGTGCAAATTGAGGTAACCTTATTTTCGCTTGCCGTTACTAAAATAACCAGCTGGATGCTAACATTCTTTATCTGCTTCCCCCTTAGATAAATAATCCCCTCCGAAGCCACGGCAAGAACGTTCGGAATCCATGTCCGAATCAACTCAATGGGACTCCGTTTTTCACTAGTGGCCAATCACTGGAACGACTAACCCAAAAAAGTGGTGTCAGCCTCAGTAGTGAACATTTTCGAGAATGGATCTCCAATGTGATGCAATTTTCAACGATTAATACAGATCGACATATCTGCCATCACTGAGACTGAAACTGAACCACGTACCAATCAACTTTGTAATGCCCAGAGTCAGCCTCTCAGGGTCGTCCCAACGAGAGGTAGTTTTAACCTGAGTGACCGCCTAATGTGTCGTAAAAATATTCCAAGAAGTCTTAGAACCATCTTTTGTTTAGTTGATTTGATCCTATCTATACCTAAAATGAAATGGTCTATCGGTGTTAAAATTTCGGAATTACGGTCTAGTCGTTTCCTGAACAGTTGTATTAGGCATATTAAAATCAAACAGTTTTATCTGAATAACTCCTGAACATGTGCTCACAAAGCGTTAGTTGTATCAGTTTGTCCTCAATTATCAGAAACACCAGTTAACGACGTCTTTTCCACGCCATATTG